CAAACCACCCAAAGGGACTCTATTTAATGGTAAGGACACTTCTGAAAGCCATGGATCTTATTAAGGCCCATCAGAGAGAAGGAGGTGGAGTGAATACAAATCACAAACTTCAGGTCTTTCTTTGAAAAAAAAAAAAGTTACATTTTCTTTCTGCTTGTCTTTATTTGCTAGTTTATGTTAAATTCCTTCGTTTACACGCCACATGTAAAAATGTCCTCCTCTTTACAGGATTGAGAAAAAAGGAAAAGAAGCAGATTCGCCTGGTCAGCTACATCCAGAATATAAACACCAGCATCACCAGCATCGTCCCGACCCTCGCCACTGTTCTCACCTTCCTGGTTCACACTCTGCTGGGTTTATCGCTCAATGTGTCTGATGTAAGTACAGCAGCGCTGAGCTGTGAATAAAGGATTGGAACGGAGAACTGTCGCCTCGTGGACATCAACTAAAGAGTTTCCATCTAAAGCCCATCAGGGTTGTTTTCACCTCACTGTTTGATTTTCTGTAAACAGGCCTTTTCTACTATCGCCATTTTTAACTCCATGAGGTTTGTCCTCGCCTTGCTGCCGTTGTGTGTGAAGGCCCTGGCTGAAGCCGCTGTGTCTCTGAGGAGATTAAGGGTACATCTTAAACAACTTTTTCCATTTTAAAGCTTTAATTGCAATTTGCTCTCATCAGTGCTCTCATCAGTGTATTATGAAGATAAATGCAAATTATTTGTTTAAACATGTTGGTCTATCACATTAAATCTCAGTATTGTTCAATGAAATCGGTGGTTGTACAGTAGAAGCCATCTTTCTGCTGAGAAGTAAAATCTGAGAAACCTTATCCATTAGTTTAGTTTTAAGGGAAGCAACCAATTCACTGCAGAAATTAAGATATCAGGAATTCAGTGTAATTTCCCTTGATTTGAATAGACCGACCAGTTTTTTCCATTTACATTAAAAATAACAGCTCCAAACTGGAAAAACGATCTAGAAATAAGTAAAAACTTCTTAAATTAAGTGTATTCACCCTTAATTTGAGCAGGTAAATGAGATAGTTTGCCAATGGAATGAGTATTTTTACTCTTAAAATAAGATAATTAGATAATATGCACTTGAAATAAGACAATGCAATTGTATTTTCTTATTTTAAGTGTAAATTGTCTTTTTCAATTGGCAAAATGTCTCTTTTACCTCCTCAATCCAAGAACAAATGCACTTATTTTAAGAAAAAATGACTTGTCAAGATTTTGATTTTTTCCAGTGCATTGTCTTATTTCAGGTGCATTATATCTACACTGGAAAAACGATCTAGAAATAAGTAAAAATGTCTTAAATTAAGTGTATTTACCCTTAATTTGAGAAGGTAAATGAGATAGTTTGCCAATGGAATGAGTATTTTTACTCTTAAAATAAGATAATTAGATAACATGCACTTGAAATAAGACAATGAAATTGTGTTTTCTTATTTTAAGTGTAAATTGTCTTGGTCCATTGGCAAAATGTCTCTTTTACCTCCTCAATCCGAGAACAAATGCACTTATTTTAAGAAAAAATGACTGATCTAGATATACATTTTTTCCAGTGTAATTAGCTTATTTTAAAAGGTAAAATGTTCATTCCATAACCAGATCATACATTTATTTTAAAGATATGTTGTTTTAAATCAGTTTTTGCAGTGTTGTAACCCTAAGCATCCAATGTGTGGTTGCTGTGTCAGAAAATCATGCTGCTCCAGAACCCAAAGCCCTACCTGCAGCAAAACAAGGACAGTCAAACAGCTGTAGAGATGAAAAACGCCACGCTATCCTGGACCAGTGCTGCCGGCGAACAGCATCACCTTCCCAGCCAGAACGGGGAGGTGAAGGAAGACAAGGAAGAGGAGAATGGTCGGAGTCAGAGCTTACCAACCCTGAGAAACATCTCCTTCACTCTGCCCAAGGTCTGCTGGGAATCGGATTAGCTTATTGTCGTGTTTTGGCTCAGCCGAAGCCTGAAGGTCTCTGTGTTTCTTCCTGAAGGGCAGCCTGCTGGGTGTCTGTGGGAACGTGGGGAGCGGAAAGACATCACTGATCTCCAGCATTCTGGAACAGGTTGCTACGCCATTTTTTCCACTGTCACTAGTTTCTGACGTATCTTTGCTTTTAAAAAGCTTTTGCAGTTTAAGCAATCCTTAAATACTTATCCTTTAATCTTCCAGATGCATCTTCTTCAGGGTTCCATCACAGCGGATGGGACGTTTGCTTATGTTTCCCAACAGGCCTGGATTTTCCATGGAACAGTTCAGGAGAACATCCTGATGGGCGAACCGTTGGACCAGGCCAAGTAACCACACACTGTTTTTCTTTTTCAAGGTTAAAAATGTTTAACCAGGAGAACGTGAAATTTCGTCTGTCATGGTAGTTAAACAAGGACAGAGGTCGTCTGTGTTATCTGGCAGCTCACCTTGGGGAACTGCTGATCAATGCATATGGATTTTATGTAACATAAGATAAGGACTGTCTCTAAAAAATGTAATAGAAAGCAGCTTTAATTATCCCTGAGATAGATATCTTCTAGGTTTAAATATATCTACCAGACAGGAAGCTGTTATCACTTAGTTTAGTTACAATTTACCTAAAATTCAGATATAAAATTCTATTACAATGCTATTCATTGTTTGATCTATTTGCTGATGTTTTCATGATGGTTTCATAAACCACTGAAACATGTACACTGCAAAAAATGTAAATCTAAATAAGTCATTTGTTCTTAAAATAAGTGCATTTTTTCTTGAATTGAGGAGGTAAGTGAGACACTTTGCCAATG